TAGTCATCGTGTGGGAGTCGACGATGTGAGGACCCGACAATGAACACTCTTAGGGGACTTTGCGGCCATGCGTGAAACTTATTGGCGTAGCACTAGATGCTCACCAAGCAGTTCTGGATGTCGGTTGTATCGACACATCATATGATGCCTTACAAGCAAGCAGTGGTCGATTGCTGGCCCCCCTACCCGGTGTGGATCTTTGAGAGCAAATTTGACGCAATCCACCATTAGATCCACATCGGAGAGGCGCACCTGCCATCCTGCGGTTGTTTACTGCAGTCATCATGTGGGAGTCGACAACGCAAGGACCCGACGATGTTCCAATTGGGACATGCTCTTGATTTGTAATGCGTAGGTGTTGACCATCGATGCGTATGCAGTCTATCGATCGAAAGAGGAGTTTTCTCTAGCATCGGTCGGGGGAAACTGACGACGTATTTCAGCGACGAGAGGGAACAAGGTTGTGCGGTCTGCAACTTCGGATGTATCCGAGACACAAAAAGTCCCGTAGGACATGCATAATTGCAACGTCGATCAATGACACTCATGCCACTTTCTACCAGACAACGACCGATGCATAGACGCGCTATGGACATGGGCACAACGTTTCATGACAGCCAATCTGAATACCGTCCCTAGCAATCGCCAGACAGCACGCGGACAGATGGTTGAAAGGGCGGAGCACTGTTTTGGAACCTTGCGAGCTCGCAGGGTGTGCAAGTAAGAAACTCGAAGGTGTCCAGTTAGCGAGTCGCACAGACCGCATCGCATGGGTTGTTTTGTGGTCAAGCATCGCCCGGGAGAAATCGACGATGTATTTCGGCAACGAGCGTGGTCAAGGTCATGCAACTGACAACTTCGGATGGATCCGAGACGGAAAAATCTCTGGGGGAATAGATGATTGCAGCGTCCATCGAAGATAGTAACTTCACTTTCCACCTAGCGACAGTCGGAGCAAAGGCCAATGTGAGGTAGCTCATACGTGTCTATATGAGTGGTTGATGTTAACAGAGGGGCCCTCTTCCATACACCCAAGTACAACAGGATACATATGACACATGCGCATTTCAGCACTGCCATGCATAGACATTGACTCACAATACTCAATCGAGGTGAACCATACATTTGACACATGCACATTTGAACACCTCCTTGCATGCAAACAGACTCATGACACAAAAATGTTGAGGATGATGAAAAAGAAGGGGCCATCTACCACAAGACCAATTTTAGCAGAAAAAACAATGCACATCGGCTACGTAGCATCGTGTTCGCGTTCGTAGGCGAACGCGAACAAGCGCCCAAAACCCTCCGAACGCGMAMAWAAAAAAAAAAAAAAAAAAAAAAAATCTCAGAAAAAWAWRAAAAAMAWAWAWGTTATGTGAAATAAMAAWACAAACAATGAAAAAATTAGACAATACAATGAAAAAATTGAACGTAGCGAGGGACGGAAATTCCGAAAGGAGGCGCCGATGAGTACTAAAAAGTGATGAAATTTGAATTAAGCTAGTGCTACTGAACAAAAAAAAAATTGGATGATTGGACAGGGCCTCAATTTTCGGGAAAAAACTTCGAGAATCAATTGTAGATTGAACAGTGCCCCAAACCGAAACATGAATAAGAGACATAAGCGACTTTATTGAATCTAGTATTGATTCAACACTTTGGATGCATCCGAAACACGAATTATGATGGATGATGGTACGATGCTTGTCTTGTCGATCTCTCGGCTCTGTCACCTGTGTGGAGTGCTCATTTGCTGTTTGCTACGGATTCTCTCTCTCTCTCTCTCTCTCTCTCTCTCTCTCTCTCTCTCTCTCTCTCTCTCTCTCTCTCTCTCTCTCGTCATCTCGGATGCATTTGAATTGGCTTACCCTCGTCTGTCGCATAATGCTATTCTCTGGCTATCATTCACAATGCTTTCCAAATCGAGGTTTTTGATCTTCGCGTGTTTTTCAACTCTGCGTCTCCTATGCGACGCGTCGACATGGAAGAAAATTCATTACAGTCATCTGTACGCTCTCTCTCTCTCTCTCTCTCTCTCTCTCTCTCTCTCTCTCTCTCTCTCTCTCTCTCTCTCTCTCTCTCTCTCTCTCTCTCTCAATTGGTTCCAATGCATTAGACAATACAATGAAAATATTGAATGTAGCGAAGGAAGGAAAACCCAAAAGGCGACGTTGATGGGTACTAGAAAGTGACGAAAATTGAATTAAGCTAGCACTATTGAACAAAACAAAATTGGATGATTGAACAAAGCCTCAATTTCCGAGAAAAAACTTCTAGAATTAATTGTTGATTGAACCGTACTCCAAACCGATACAGGCCTAAGAGACTTAAACGACTTTACTGATTCAACACTTTGGATGCATCCGAAACATGAATTATGATGGATGACGGTAGGATGTTTATCTCGTCGATCTCTCGGCTGCGTCACCTGTGCGGAGTGCTCATTTGCTGTTTGCTACGGAATCTCTCTCTCTCTCTCTCTCTCTCTCTCTCTCTCTCTCTCTCTCTCTCTCTCTCTCTCTCTCTCTC